TCCCTCCCTCGTTAGCACAGGCTGTTTGAACTCTCAGAGAGCTGTCGGCTTCGGACAGGCGAGCCCATGCCTGATTTCACTTCCTCTAGTGTAATCGTGGACTTTAGTGACTCTGCTTTTCACTTGTACTGACATAACCAAGATTGAAATCTTTCCCACAGCAAATATTTATCAAAGCATACCGAAGGAAAAGCAGACCAGAAGAGAAACAAGCAAAACAGCGAGTGCCATTAAACTTTGCTAAGACAGATTTCAAACTCGACAAAAACCACCTCAGAGGCACAGAGCTAAAATGTAGGACAAAGCAGAACACAGAAAAAAATAAGCCCAAATTTCCAAACACCGACGTCCTATATCTCCCTCAGAACAATTTTTAATTACTTACAGCTTGCAAAGACTGAGAAGGAAAACCTGCACGGAACTAACAATATATGAGCAAAATCCGTGACTCTGCTGCTTCTGTTAACACTTTGGCTTCGGTATGTACATCCATCGCGGCTACCTGCTCGGGTCAGGGACCCTTTCTACAGAGCAGTAAGAAAGAAGAAGCAGGACAACATCCCCAACTGGCTTTCTAAATGATATAAAATAACAGGATGCCACACTTTAATTAGATAATTAAAACTCTGTTGCTGCTTTGCTACATGCCAAGGACACTCAGTTTCTTGGCAACAGACCTCTGATTTTCCTTCTTTGATATCCAGGTCACAGCCATTTGGATGAGAGGCTCTTTTCCAGCAGCAGTGCAGGGCAGTGGCACCCATCTTCCCATGCTGCTGAAGTTCAGTGTCTTTCAACCACATTTAAAATTAGAAAAGCTGTTAAATTAAAGCCCGTATAAAGGGTGATTTCTCAATATTCTCAAAGGTCAGGGGCCATGTAAGGATATTAAAAACTTAGATAGCCCTGTGCAACATCCGCAACTTTTTACATCAGCAAGCGTCTTGTCCTGTTCAAGCTGAAGAACGAGACTGAAAGGGTAAAGAGAGGTAAAGGAAAACAACTGTTTCATCCTCAGCTCTCCAGTTTCTTTGAAAGTTAGGCCTACCCCATCCCTGACCATTTGCTATCATCCCACCTTCTTAGGAAAAAGGGGAACACCATCCTAGAAGAGGTCTACCTGCTGTCCAGATTAAGCGAAGAAATTGCATGTTTCTGAGGAGCGTTGACTTGCTCAGCTGGAAGAAAAGCATGTAGCCCTGACCGCTGGTACCAGCGCTTTGCCCGAGCTGCCATCATTTGAACTGCAGCGCAATCTCCACACAACCCCAGGATTATGAAGCGTCATCCATCCAAGCATTGTCAATCCACGTGCAAAGCACAGTTCCTCATTCTCCGCTCTGCTTCAACTGGAAAGGCGTAACAGCACACGCGTGTTTTTGAAAACCGGACACTTCTTCACAAGGCGGGAACACAGAGCACGCTACCAAGGAGCGGGTGAGACTGAACAAATCGCACAGACCAGATGGCAGTCACACGGCTTAAAGCGCTGTTGGAAGGTGCCCAGCTAGTCTGGTGATGAGCGACAGAAGAACCTATATAGGATAATGCTCTTTGTTAAGTGCCAGCAATTCATTACATTATATTCCCGAGAACAGCTGAAGTGAATTAACCACAGTAACCGTTTCCTATTCCTTCTGACAGCCCTGAGATTGTGTATGTACTGCTGCTGTGGTTGTTGGTACCTTCTGGGCAGATGTGAACTTGTTTGAAGCTATCCAAAAGCCAACTGTCCAGGCTAGCACAGTGCCAAGCCCTAGCCAACAAACCACCCAGCGGGTACGTTAGTTTACACTTGCTGCTATGCTAACCGTCGCCTGGGTTTTGGTCAACTTGGAGCGTGACCAGAACAGGCTTGTATCCACTCAGAAAATGTAACAAAACCAGAGCTTGTCAAAGATGATCCACCAGGTGTTGAGGTAATTAATAGTGGGCTAAATGCTCCTCTCTCAGGCTACTTGAAGCAAAGGAATGGTTATTAGGAACATGCCTTCTACAGACTCTTTAATCTAACAGAGCAGGTATAGGACAATGTATTTGTATTCTTTCTGTCTTGTGTACAGCCTACATCCATGCCTGCGTACCACCATTTAGCTCTAAAAAAAAAATCCTTCAAGTCTGATTCTTTTTCAGACAATGTATTTGTATTCTTTCTCTCTTGTGTACAGCCTACATCCATGCCTGTGTACCACCATTTAGCTCTAAAAAAAAATCCTTCAAGTCTGATTCTTTTTCATTAAAAAAATAATTGACCGATTTCATCAAAACAACACTGCAAAGTGAGATTTGGCAGAACTCATGGAGATTGTATTTTTTTCTTGCCTGTCCAGAATTTGATCTAGCACTAGGGGCAGGTGAGGTAAACAAAGCAGAGTCTTGAACACAAAAATCTGGATTGCCTTGACATGCTGGAAATGAAGCTAAGACAACATTGCTTTTTCCTCCGAGAACAGACTGGCCCTGTAAGATTGGTATCTCACACACAGAAGGGGAAATGAATTAATTTTTACTCAGAAGATAACTACTTTTCTCTACAGATAGGCACATCTTAAATACTCTTATTGTTTCATAAACTCCTGATGATCAGATAGCAGCCATCTTCTACATTATCTCCTGTGGAACAAAGTATGCGAGTACTCCATGGTTATGTTTTGCGTGAGCCATCTTACTCTTGAACCATCGCTGTCCACATCCGGTTATCTGCAATGTCTAATAAACCACGGATCAAAGTAGAGCCTGGGTTAGACAGCCTTGGCAACCTTGCCTTTCTGTATGAGCCAACTCAATAACATGGCTTATTGTAGTTGGGACACAGGTATGAGTAGTTTCAAAATATGAGTTCAGATTTTTGCTGTGTTTATTTGGGTTATCTTGTAAAGGGAACATTCCACAGTATGATGACATGCCATTATAACATACAAACCTGTCCTCAGAGGAAACCTAGTCACCAGCTAAAATTAATAAAATTATTACACAGTTTTGACTCCAAAAAAATCATGTAGTTAAGTCAGAAAACAGGAAAAATGAATTTTGCTCTTTCTTTCAAAAACACGAAGTCTTAATGAGGAAACTGTATTAGAGGTAATGCAGAACATCAATTCTTTTTTAAAAAGAAGACACCGCCAGTAAACGTTTCAGATTCACACAAGAACCTTGTTAAGAGGCAGTTTTATTTTAGTACAGCTCGCTTTTATCACTTGATTTTAGATAATTATCTTTCCAGTTAATCATCGTCTCTCTGTCTCATGTTTAGACTTAAAAGGTGCCTATCACCTTTGTATTTGAGTAGTAGAGATTGCTGGTTTATTTATATTTATTGAAATAATTATCTTCTTTACTACTACCCCAGATATTAAGTCAAGAATATCCTTCCTGTTAACTATCCACAAATACTTTGAAGTATTGTAGCGTACTTTGTTATGGTCTCTTGTTTTTTAATTGTAGGTCTGATGCCAATGAATGGAATAAAACAGAACTCCTTAGAAAGTGTCACATTTCCCATCTCTGGAGAACAGGTGTTTTCTTTACTTCCTTATTATTTCCCCTGACAGTTACCTCACGCCTGTGACAGTGATGCAGTCTTAACTCCTCCCTGCTGTTCGGTGGTATTTCACTGACACTGCTTTGTTATCCTGGGATGACTGCTCAGAACACTCTGGAAAGTGATGCACTTGTCAAAATTCAGTTTTCAATTCATAGGTATTCATCTTTCAAATCATCCTGGCAGCACTCTGAGAATGGGCATGGAAAGGAGTTCCTCTAACACTGAAACTCAGGCTCCCTTTAATGCAGGATTAAGGCATACTAACCGAGAACCCTCCTGACCTTTCTCTTTCTTATCTAGAAAAGGAGGATCTCCTGACTTCCTGAAGGTATTAAAAAACACTATACATATATCCACGACCACTGAAGAACTATGCCCAGATATCATTTTGACTGTAAATGTGGCAATGCCTGTGAACCAATCAAAAGAGTAGAGATGTTTCAGAAAGATGACATCAACTGCCACTGTCCTCCAGCAAAAATTCAAGAACTTCATTCTTCCTCAGTCGATGTTTCTTCATTCTCAGAATCCCTCACTTTCAGCTGCAAGTGCTTCAACAACAGGTTTTGTATGCCTCTCCCCAGTGTAAATCCCATAATGCAGCTGGTCATCCTTTACAGTAGCCCAGGACATCTGCTTGGTGGAGAACCTTGCTGCCCACTCTCCTGAACTGTTAACAACAATGACACCCCCTAATCCCCCAACTCGTGTCTTCATGTAGTCTAATGCAGTGTCAGCAGCCATCTCCGGTGACATTCCTGAAAAGAAGAGCAAGATAACTTCATGGTATCTGTCCTGAAGTAAGTTTTAAAATTCCCTTCAAGTTTCACTCCTCCACATGCAGCCAGCCAAACCTAATTCCTCCTTCAACTAAATGGGCAAGAAATTACCAGTGTAACAAAGGAACTGTTTATAGGAAGGCTCTGGACAGTTGCTAATTGCTGCTATGGTATGGTGCTGCTACAAAGCATTTTATAGAATCATAGAATGGTTAGGCTTGGAAGGAACCTCAAAGATCATCTAGTTCCAAGCCCTCTGCCATGGGCAGGGAAACCCTCCACTATACCAGGTTGCCCAAAGCCTCATCCAACCTGCCTTGAACACTTCCAGGGATGGGGCATCCACAACTTCTCTGGGCAACCTGTTCCAGTGCCTCACCACCCTCTGAGTGAAAAATTTCTTCCTTATCTCTAATCTAAATCTAACCTCTTTCAGTTTAAATCCATTGCCCCTTGTCCTACCACTACACGCCCTTGTAAAAAGTCCCTCTCCAGCTTTCCTGTAGGCCCCCTTTAGGTACTGGAAAGCTGCTATAAGATCTCCCCAGAGCCTTCTCTTCTCCAGGCTGAACAGCCCCAACTCTCTCAGCCTGTCTTCATAGCAGAGGTGTTCCAGCCCTCAGATCATCTTCGTGGCCCTCCTCTGGACTCGCTCCAGCAGGTAGAAGCTATTTAAATAGCTTCGGATTGTAATTCAGTTTCAGTGTTTGATAGAGACTAAGGCGTCAACTCTATGTTTAAGACACAACATTTCTTACACCATCATTTGAAGGGAAAAACGCCAGTCTGCAAACTTTCAATCAAAGGTTTGTCACGAGCTAGGTCTAAAGCATTTACAATTTGAAAAAAAAAAAACCACAGTAAACCAAGAAAAAATATCAGTCATCATCTATGTTTGAACTCCACTGGCCACAACGGAGCTCAAAACACACACTTCACATTGTCATAATTTATCAAAAGCAGTCATCAGCATTACTCTTCCTGAAACTTCTGAAAGTATCAGGCAAGATGAGTACTCAATGTACTGGACATCAGACAAAGGACCAGCAAAGCAACTTTATCGTTTCATTAGACTTAATTCATATTAACAGGAATGTTTTTTTCAATAAATCAAAGTTAAGGTGTACATCATACACACAGGCATCTAACAGCTGCAGACTATTTGCTCACTCCAAGTCTGAATATACTTTCAGGAATGCAGTTGGCTCTGCCTAATTGTTCTAAGATATATACCGTTGGTAATGTTATGCAGCTTAAGCTGCAAAACAAAAACTGACCTTCACGCCTTCCCTGCAAATTTTGAGTTAAAACCAAACAAACCCAACAGAGTCAGAATTATTCACAGCATTGGTGACTGACAGGATAAAGCTCCTTTCTTTGACGTTACGGGTGACACCGTGAGTATTCAAGTCAGTGGCACTGACTTCAAAGGGTCAGTATTTCACTGTTTGATTTTTCATCAAGACAACAGCTGCCACCATAGGACGGAGATTCCAACAGCTGTTAAGACGGGCAAAGCAATTCACTCCTGGAATATGAAAGTAAATTCTGCAGCACTGGTCCAAAATAAGATATTTACTATGTGAATTACTGAATAGCTGAACAGAATTATTAAAGAGCTCTATAGTTGTTCTTAAATATGCAACTTCAATTGACCGTTCAAGGACTCAGAAAGTTGTAATAACTTGAGGGTTTGTTTTCAGCACCTTCATAGAAACGGGGAGGGGGGAAGAAAGTCTATTGCTGGTGTATTTTCCTGGCAGCTGAGTTGTACCTCTGGGCAGGACGAATGAAGGCAGAGCAAGCACGGGCAGGGTGAACAAGTGCAAACCAATTAAACATGCGCACATGTAGGTTTATTTTCTTTTTACAAAAAACTTTTTAATTTGAGCCTCATTTGCCTTTCATACTGATTGATCACAAGCCAGGTAACTGCTATCAATGCATCAGTTTTGCAACGTAGTTAACTTCAAGCCAGAGAAGAAACTGGTTTACATAGTTTAGACTAAATCGAGCTTAGGCGGCCATTCACAAATTGAATTGCTAGGGACACAATACAGAGAGTGAGGGGAGATCACAATGTGTTAGAGCTTTGGGAAATGATCTGTAGGTTGTATTTTACGCTGAAACTATCACATTAGCCAAGAGATTACAGAGAAATGCACCCATTATATACAAACAGCTCTATAAAGCGTAACAAAAATATTCTCAGCTGTTACTTGTCTCTCTGCTTACTGCTGCTCCTATGAAAATGTAAATTGAAAGTTTTCCAATTACTTCCAGTTCGGTTGGTCTCAAAGCAAGTTACACTGTACTGCCCAAAAGCTCTGGTTTTCTAAAAATAACGGTGATTATCTATATTAATGGTTCTTCAACCACATGCAATGCAAGTATGTTGTCTGGCTATGTTTACAGGCTGTAATATAATCAAGGGTTTAGATGACAGACTAACTCATGAAGGTAAAGCTCCAAAGGGTCATCCCACAGTCAGATTACATTACAGTCACAGAAGACATACTGTGTCAGCTGTTTACCACATACCCCCCCAGTCAGTTTTGTATATTTTCCAAAACAAAACAAAAATTTGAATCACAGTTAAAACGTCTTAAAAGCATTTTTGTTGCTATAATTGGAGTTGTTAACATAAAAACCTTTGCAGTTTATTAGAAAGGTGATATCCTATGCTTTCTTATTCAGCTCTTATATCAGCTCTGATTATCTATCTCTAGCCCTCCCCTACTGCTTCCTTAAACACATCTTGCTTGTACTTGTTTTCTGTTTCTTTGTTCACAAAATTTTAAACTGGGAAAAAATCATTAAAGAGAACTTCAGTTAAACAAAGTACGTAATAATGTCTTTTAATGAACATTGATCTAAAGCATGATTAAACATCAAGCAGCGCAGATATTTCTGTCCACTTGAGGCTATTTTAGCTTTATTAATACTTTAGTACTTTGTTTTGTTTGTAAAGAGAACTGACCCATCCACACACTCCTGGGAGCATTCTGACAACTGTTATAGGATGATAGTACATAAACTGAAACCTGTCATTAGGCAACGTTTCCTATCCTCATTATGTCAGCTTACAGGAAGTTTGGAATATACCTTGCTCCATGTGATAGAGGACCAGTCGGGCTAAGACCACTTTCATAATGCTCTCCCCATGTCCTGTGGTTGAAGTGGCACCGGAACGGTTATCAGCATAACCTCCACTTCCTTTTCAGAGAGGGGCAAAAAAAAAAAAAAGAAGGCAATATTCTGTAATACAATTTACAAGCTCTGCATTGCTTAAAATAGGTATGGAGCATTTCTTCCTAAAGGTCCAGCAGTTCTGCACGCTTCTGGGAGCAAAGTATCAGTAACTAACTTCTTTCTCATTTCTGCCTCAGTTTGTAATGTAAAATATATGACCAACAACAGCTGGATGAATTCAGTTGCCAAGTTATGAGAGCTAGAAGAATAGTGATCTACTTATGGCACAAGAAGCAGGAGCAGGCCAACGCTTCCCAGGGATGGGCAAAAACATTTTCCAGAAAACCAAGGGACAGTATATTGAGGATCAGCAAGATTGCAATGGGATATGGAATGCCAGGTCATACAACATTACCAATTGAGAAGACATGAAGGAAGATCTTGTGAGGATGTTGGTGAATTGACCAAGGTTTGAGGGGGACTTATCGACAAGAGCAAAAGCAGGTAAGAGACCTGAAGAGCCTGGTCTCTAGTGAAGCATCACAAAGCACCCCTGAAGAATCTTGCAAGTTCTCACCACAAGCAGTGTTTCCTCTGTTGATCTCCCACCCTCACATCCCTTTTTTTTCCCCCCTCTCGTCCTTGTTTTGCTGGCACATTCCACACCCTGTTCTTCACCAAGCTTCTGCTTGCTCAACACTCGTGCTTCTAGCACATCTCTTAAGAAAAATATTTCCCAGGAGCTGGGGAGGAACATACCACAGCACTATAAACAAGGTACTGGGGGAGGGGAAAGAGGCTTAGAAGAGCAATGAAAGTTTCTTCCCTTCTGTACTTTCTTCATCAGATCAGACTCTTTACACAGACCCCAATTAACATGTGGAAAAACACTGCCACAATTAGTCTGTCAAAGCCCCCTTTCAAAAGGCTCTAATATTTAAAAGGACAGCTAGCATTAACGTATCCAATTCTGCAGATGTCTATTAAGAGCAAAAGCTGCAATCAATATCCTCAACAGTGCCCAGATTCACTTGTCTTTCACGGATGTGTCCCATACTATAGGAGCCCTGAACATGATCTACGTAAGAGAAGGGTATGTGAAGTCAGAAGGCTGCAGTTAGAAACGAAGCTGAAAATCACAGGCAAAATGCAGAGTGTACCACAATATTAGCAACTTAGGGTGAGAGAGAAGGTTAGTATTAGTTCTATCATAATCATGTACTGCCGACAGCAGTGCTATTTGAGTTTGGAACATGTTTTACTAAAAATAATTGTTTTCCAAATCCCAGCTGTATGGTAGAACTCTGAAGCAATCAAATGGCAGGTCTGTCCCATGAGAGGAACAAGTCTAGTGAAGGGATTTCAAGTGTCTCTTTATACTTGGATAAGAGATCTCTTAAAATATTTTCTGTATTCCGCACCACATCTTTTAGACTCTGAGACAGTCTTATCAGGGCTTTCCAAGAACAAAAATTTACTCAAAAGTAGCCAGTCATTTTACAATTCTGGCTCACTGATACAACAAACAGCAATTACAATTACACCTACTTCTTTAAGTGTCAAGAACACAGCATCTTAGCATGGAACAGGCTACATTTTTGACTTAGCAGTAACCATGGTTGTACAAAAGTAGAGCTTTATCAGAATGACCAGAAAGGAAACGCACACACAAAAAGGCAGCATTCAGGAAAGGACAGAAAAAAAGCAATTCCCATCCCTATTTTCCAGATAGAACAGTGGTGGATTATGATAATAATGGCATCACTATACCTCTACTCCCAATCCTTACTTGCAATCTCCGTGTTGTGTTAAGGAGCTTGAGTTTTTATACGTTTGAATGTTAGACCTCCATTTCAGATGTACGAGAATTTATTTTCATTTCCTTAATGAAAAGGAGAACGTGCGTAATACTTTTTTTTCTTATTTTTCTTTCTTAAATAAGATACCCCCAAAAAATGAGAGGTAAGACCCCACACCCCATACCTATGCACGCTGTGTCACCAACACGTCCAATCAGTTTATTAGAGAGTCCTCCAGTGGATGTTGCACAAGCTACACTTCCTTCACTGTCTATAGCAACAGCACCAACTGTTCCAAGGTCTCTGCCAAGAAAAACAGTTCACAAAATTAGGTAGAATTAAAGCATACCTGCCAAAGCATGTTGCATTTGTTTTCCAGGTAGCTTTAAAAAAGATGATTGCAAAAAAAATTACTGCTCATCATAAAGTTATTTTTTACCATGCTTCTCTTTAAAAAATAACAAGCAATGTGCACCAATTCTCATAGCTGTATACTTAATAGAGTAGAAAACACTTATTTTTTTTTAATCTTCTCCCATGACTTGTTTACCTTCATAGCACAGAAACTTCAACTTGGGGAGGAAAAAACCCGCAAAACAAAAGCACACAGGGCAGAAATATTTGTAGACATCATAGTTCTAGAGTAGTTTTTGGCTGAGACACACCTGACACACAACCTTCCCCTAAAGAGCAACTCAAAGACGCAAGGATTGTCTCCACTGTCTCAACAGGACATTAACCGGAATTATTAATGACAATGCACGTAAACAAGCAAATACGGAAAAGAAGAGTAATGCTATGAATGCATTGAATCATTTCCTTCCTGTTCCTCCTCTTTCCTCTTCCTTATTCCTCTAATGTTTGAATGCCACAAAAATAAAAAAAGAAGTTATTTATGTGCTTTTCAACTAGTATTGTTCACAGCGCATCATCAATACGTATTTTCATCTTGGTACTCTGTAGCTAAGCAATCTTGAAGTTTAAAATCACTTGGCCAGTAGAATCTGTTGAAATTGCACATCAGCTTAAAAATCTTCATGTACGGAAGAAAACAGAATTCTCAACTACTGCTTTATTTCTTCAGCACAACAACATCATCTGTAATAGGCTACTTAAAATATACATGTATATTCATACTCAGAGAAAAAAGGCTATTGTAACTTACTGTAGCAGTCACTGCACTGAGAAACCAGACATTACTGAGAAGCCACAGTTTGAGTGCCCACATATTCCAATCTTGGCAATTCACGCAGAAACATAAAACAGTAGCTGGCTGGGAGAGGTATACCAAAAAAATCTAAATCCCTCCACATAGGAAAAGAATTTGTAACAATCCTTAAAGGAACTGCCCAACAGGTGACTGGAGCTTTGGAAGCTGCTTGGGCACTGGTGAGGGTCTCTCTATAGCCCCACAAAATCTGAGCTAATTAAAGCCAAAGTCTTTGTGTATCATAAAACCCACAGTCAATTTCTCAGAGAATCAACTTTGTGTTCCCTCCTGCTTATGTAAGATATCATACTGTCAGTCCCTACACTTCATTCACAGCAATTCAAAGTTGACTGATGAATCACAGGCCTTACAAACTGCTCTGACATTTATGTGGAGATGGACCTCATCTCAAACTGATATGATGGTGCAGATGGGCTTCCCACCCATCCATCTGTTATAAAATGATTTGCTGAAAAGAATATTAGTGAATTCAGTACTCCCTTGCACACTCACACGGTACCCTTCAACCAACTAAAGTTAGATCCTCCTCAGAAATTCAGAAAAGTGCATTCAGACGTACGTTTTCCTGGGTATGTGTTTACCTTAAGCAACGTGAGAATAATGAAACTACATATATCACATATGCAGCAGGTATCTGGTTAGGTACAAGGGCTCAATCAGTGATAAATAACAAAGTGAACGTGTCCCGCATACTTTATCTGTGGTGGAGTAAAAAGACATCTACACTCTATTTCTTAGTGTCCCTTTAAACTTGTTTATTGCTTCAGCGTCACATGTTTTCTGTGTTCATCTTCAGAACAAAGGCAAAGAAGATATAAACAATCTGTTGCATAGCTAGTTAACTCAGAAGCATTACCAAGGCAGGCAAAACTGGCCAAGTAGAGATACATTATCATCATCTATCATTAGTTAGTGACAGCAGTAAGAATCTCAACGAGTACCTTTAGTATACCAGAGGATGCTATTAGTATTAATGATTTTGTTTAATCAAGAATTATTCTTATGTACTGCATATACTGAACCATTCTATCTCACACTTGGATTTTTTCATTCCCTTTTCTCGAAATCTTTCATTATCCAGTACCCATAAAGTTACATGTACTTTTCTACTCCCACTCAACTAATAAAGCATCTGCTATTTTGTCTCTTAGCACTGCATCAGAAGTAGTGTTTTCTGTCGATTACTGTCAGGGTCTTTCTAGTTAATACCTCCTCGAGTTACTCGCACTGTGATTCACGGACGCACTAGTAGCCCATTTACTACCTTATGGCCAGACTCAATCCCCTGTCTGTGGGGTTCTCAGGGAATCTCCAGCAATTCCTGACAAGGGTATGGTCAGAATCTTCAGAGTGAGAGACTGAAAATAAACCAAACCACACCTCATCCTCAGCAAAAGGTGTACAAGATGCCATGTTGTACATGCAATGGAATCATAGGCTTAGAATATAAATGAATGCAGCGGAATTCATCTATGAATGCACCTATGCTATGCAGCAGAATGCTTCTAACCAGCGGAAGAGACAGGTCTCTTCTGGAGATACCAAACCTTGCTTGGAAAGCTGTGAACCCCCAAGGTTTCCAACATTGTTAGGACCAGAAGACTGGAAGTAACCAGTCTTTAAATTCCCAGTACGATCTGGTATTATGTTGCCTCTGCCTAATACTACTTCACCTTCTGCCTGTTCGCCTCAGGCAAGTTTCTGCATAATCACTGTAGACCTAACAAGGAAAAAGAACATTCCACATGCGATACAGGAACAAATGGGCTTGCATAAAAATTGACCTGTTTTCAACTTTGTGAATTTGTGCTGATGTCTTGGGCATTGGCTCTTAGAAAAAGAACAGTGTGGCTAAGACAAGAAAAAGTCTTGAGCCCTTCAGAAATGTACAAGTCTTCTACTATCACATATTCCAGAACAAGACAATTGCTGAAATTGAAGATGCCCAACACTGTTATAAGAAAAAAAAAATAATTACAGCAGTTATAAAGAATGAATGGACACTCAGATGCCATGCCATTCCAACTTACGTATTCAGGAGATGAAGTGGCAGCAGGGGCTAAGTCATCCTCAAAATTCTTTGTAACAATTTATAATACCACACAGTCCTTGGAAAGACCATGGATCAAACGAAAACCTCTGTTGGATACAAGATGAACTACGACTGAGACCTTATGGTCAAGGAACAACTTCGCTTTGTTTACAAGACCGTGTTTGCACTTGCCTTATGAATTTTTCCTTCTAGTACTTCACTGAAAGTAACATATAGCTTGTGGTTTACAGCCTCATTTCATGGACTTTAATTAACGTACCCACAGAAGAAATTTCCTCCTTTTGATCTACAAATTCTTCAGCTCTGCTCCTCTCATTACTACTATTTCACAGAACAGATGAAGAACTGTAATACAGTGTTTATGTAATATAACACAGGGTTTTCCTACGCCACAACCATTAATGTACAAACGGAAGCTCAGAACAATTTAGGATTTATGCCTACCTCACAGGCATAAAAAAACATTTTTACACCTGGTGATTCTCCTTCCTTTCCCATCCACCTCACCACCTTCTCCACTTTATGCGAGACTTGCTTATTTTTCAAGTGACTTTTGTTTTGCTGTTGTGCAATACCATCCAGTAGCAACTCTTTTCACACCCACCACTACGCTGAACTTCTTGGTCAATTTTTTCACTCCTATCTACAATAACCAACAGCCACAATCACCACTCAGAAGGAGTTACTGATCAAAATCTGATGTGATTTAATTACCTAATCCAGTTTAAAGACAAATCTGATTATCTACTTAACCAAGACCAGCTTTATTAATTTTTTTTTCCATGGACTTGTTTTAAAATGTGGACTGGAGATTTTTTAAAATCACAGTTCCTCTATGGAAAAGAACCACACGAAGCAATGCCTGCTGTTTGTTAAAGCTGCTCCACGCACTTCTGTAACTGGTGATTTTAAGAGCAATAACAAGTTGTAACTTTCTCCTCCATTAATCTCATAAAACCTATGCCATGTCAAAGCGATCGACAATCTTCTTTAGCATCAACAAGTTTGTTCAAGTGTGTGCCAATCACTTACACTTGAGCAAATTCACCGAAAGCTTCATTTTTCATTAGTTTCACTAAGGACATACCGTGAAGACTGTATCAAACCATGTAACACTCAGAACTGGAGTATTCTCAAGTCTGAATACAGGCCTTCAAGCTTTTTGGTGTGTTTTTTTTGTTTGTCTGTTTTGTTTTGTTTTGGTTTTTTTTAAATGATAGCACAAATTAAACTACCTGAATTTAAAAAGAAAAAATATTTTACAAAAAATCCTACTTCTGAAACTCTTCAGGGTGGGAATCTGGCTCAAGGTTCTTCTTCCATCTCTCCTGGGATCTCTCAGTTATGAGTTTCTCCCCTGGAATCTCAGGAATACCCATGGCCTGAGCAAACAGGTGTGCACCATGGTCAGTCAGCAGCATGTGCTTCGTCTGCAGAAGACAGACAAGAGATTCATTAACAATTCTTGTTTTGCCTTGTACTGAGCAGTTTCGTGTAATCAGCCTTTATTTTTAGAAGTATCCACACAATTTCAATTTTTGTTTTATTTTTAAACTTTCCAGATTTCTATGCCTATATCCTCTTCCACTAGCTGAAAAAATTTTCAGCTCTCCAGAACACAAACTTTCATCATTAGTAGAAAAGAATTGCATTTACCTATTTAATACTTATTATAGTGGGAAAATAAAAATTGGTAAATTTGCTCTTCTGCGAATTTGCATGCAACTTCTTTGTATTGTTTCCAGTCAATCACCAAATCATCACTTAACTGTTTCGTCCACTTAACTAAGAGATCTAGAAGGATTTTACTTGAAAGGAAAGAATGATAAATAAATTCCTGTTCTGTTTGAAGGTATTACACCTTGTAAAATAACAAAAAAAATGTAAATATCATATGCTAAAGTGTTTCTTAACATCAGCTGAACCATTTTATTTTAAATACTTTATTCAACTAGCTGCTACTCTTATAGACCCAGAATTTAAAATTTAAGAACAGACTATTGTTCTCACAGGTTTGACAAAAAACGTTTGCTCTCTTCTAACGACACTTCCAGAAGCTCTACTTTGATTCCTTCATTTAGCAAAGCACTTTGACCAGATTTTAAGTCAATTACCTTAGCTAATTTCATACGTTAAAGTCTGTACAGGTTGGTTAATTCCTATTTTAGAGAAACTTACCAGATAAATTTGTTGCTTTAATCCTTATACTTTAGTAGGAGCTCTAAAATCTTATTTATTTATTTTAAAATCCGTGTCCAAAAATACTACACAGACCACTACACAGCTGTTAATCACTCATCAGAGCCCAGGAAGGTTTTGGAGGAGAGGTGGTCTGACTATACAGTACGGAGTCATTTCAGAGCACAGCAGCTAACTTCAAGTGAGCTTTTACATCCATGCAGCAGCACGATACACAGGTACCAAAAGGGAGAGGTCCAAAAAGTAGAACCACATGACGCTGGATGCAGCAGGCCTGCAGAGCCAAGTAAGAGACCACAGTGGCACATAGTCTGCTCTCAGCCTGAAGCGAGGACACCAGAAGTTGGGTATTTCTGTGTCATGCTGCATTCCACAGGACATCTAGAGTCTCTAAGCTTCAGCCTTTAAGATGCTGCAAACCATCAACTTCCCTTGATTTCTAAAGCAATGACAATCACTACCATGTCCAACCCATGGCACTGTATTGTTTTGAAGGATTCAAGCTGAACCCCGTCCCAAACCACAGACACTGAGCTCTGCTTCAGCTCATTACAGCCTCTGCACTAACCCCTTCGGCTGCTTACACAAGCAGGAAACGTAGCTACACTTCAGAAATATTCCTGAACAGTCATTCACACGTGGTAGCTCTGATGTCAAATATTTTTGAGAATTTAAATGTCTTTTTATTGACAAATTAAGTCCTCGAGTCATGACAGCACTGCTTTAGGGAACAACATTAAGAGTTACAAGGAAGAAGTCCTCTATATGTGTGAAAGAATAGACAATATCCTCACATGCTGAGTGATCTTACCAGAAAATAAAAGACCTACCTATTTCTAACAGAGCTGGTGTTCTCCGACTTGAAAGCCAACTTCTTTGTGCAATACTGCCCCCCTCTGCCACTGCCACCAAACCACCAGCACACAATCCAGTAATTCAAATCAGTTTTGAGTTTTGGTGAGGTTTTCTGGTGGTTTCGGTGGTAGGTCTGTTTGTTTGCTTGCTTTTATTTTAAAACACATTTTACTTTTGTTTTGACTTTATCTGTATCAGAAGGCTGTGTCCTCCATAACTTGCTTTCTTCAGCCATTAAGATTCATACCATAACTTGCTTTCTTCAGCCATTAAGATTCTATATCATCATTTAAATGTTTTTTTTTTAAAAATGAAGGTTTTATTGTAAAAAATGGAAGCTATTTCTTAAAACTTTTTCAAAGGGTTCCCTCTCATATGCATATTCTGATAACATACCCACCTTCCTGAGCTGCACAAACAAGAAACACTTGCATACAGAGGAATTAGCTTCTATGATAGGGTTTGGGTTGCTGTTTGGTTTTTGGTTTTTGGTTTTTTTTTTTTTGGTTTGGTTTGCTTTTTTTTTTTGCAGTCCTCACTGAAAAGAAGGTCTCTTAAGGAGAATTTGATTTGGTTTTCTCTTCAATATATCTTGTCTATCAAAAGAGCTGATAGAACATTGCCAAACAACCCAAAAGAACATTTTTCTGTCTCATCTTTCTTCTACGGTTTCATGAATGCGTTTGCTAACTTTATTAAGTACCTAGTTTTTCTGGGACACATTCATACAAAGTAATCCAGAAGGAAAAAAAAAAAGAAATAAAGGGTTCCAGAGATCTTATTAACAAACAACAAATGTTGGCAATTTGTAGTTAATTCCATGGGAAACAGGGAAGAGAAAATCCCCCAAATTTCTGCAGCTGGCCTGAAATTCGGACGGTCACTGTTCATTTAACAATCCTGGCAGTGCACAGAGCTCAGCAGAAATTTGCACCTTTGCCTTGAGAAGTCTGTGTTCTAAGCTAAATTCACCTTTGTCTAATGTAAAGAGTTGGATGATACAGTACAGGAAAACATATACACAGTTCATGTATACCAAAGAATCAGCACTCTAATTTCCACAAGATGCCTGTCTAATGAAGTGTTGGAGCTGAGGGGGAATAAATGCCATTTCAATATATCAGTCTATTTTTGCTCACTACAAACAAGGATAATTCAACAGGAATTTAACTGTTTTCTCAAGGATCTGTTGAATTAATTAGTTAACGTACTAAAAGCCTTCCATCTCTAGAGGCTGCCATGTTCAATAGCACAGTAAATCATGAATGGAAATTATTCTGGTGCCCTCCTTTCTTCTACCTCATGAATTTGGACAAGTTGGACAGTGAGAACGCAGCAGCACACAGGATAAATGTGCCCAACAACAGTCTAGAAGAACTACTACTCTGGCCACCAGATGGAGCCCATATTGTTCCATAATAGGAACGGAAATACAGAAAACGACAAGCAAGTAAGGAGGGTTTTTTGGTTGATTTGTTTGGTTTTGGGTGCTGCATGTTTGAAAATTCCATAAGGCAGTGAGGCATCTCAGAACCACTTGGAAATACGCATCCTAACATGCTTAGGACCCCAGGAAAACTACAGTCTTATTACCCATGGGCCATAGAGTTCAAAATATTTTTAATTATGCACAGTAAACCAAAACAAGATACACTCTGAAGTGTACTGTGAAATAGCCTGGGTTGCTGTCCCAGAATTCCTGTCCAAGATGAATAGAAGAATAACATCAGTTGATATTCCCATTTACAATACCTGATGGAGAAACAACAGAAGCTAACCTCAAGATAAATCAAGCAATTTGGGACATTTACTTTGAGCTTTGTCATCTACACAGAATTTTTTGCATCTGGGCAAAGAGTAATACACATTACCACAAAATTCCATGGTTTTAGGGCTATACCATTATACTTTGTCCAGTACAGTTGAATTTTATTACTTCCCTTCAAATTTAGCCTTAACATGTTTGAGCACCAGAAGCACCACACAATTACAAGAAAGACCTTACAACAGATGAGAAAGACAAAGGAGAGTTTTGCTTTGTTTTGGGTTTTTTTTTTGTTTTGATTTTTTTTAAACACTTTGGAAAGTAATGTTCTCAAAAACCAACACCGTTGTTTTGGCTTTTTTCTTGTTGACTTTAATAGAATTTTGTCAAGGAGACAACAAAAAAAAAATCAGTGATTCTGGAATATGAACTGAACAATGGGTATTAAAAGAAGTTATCTATAGAAAAAAAACCAAACAAAATCAACATCATTCTCCTCAACACGCTACAAAACATCTCTCCCTCAGCCCTCCACCTACATTCTCAAATTTTGAAAAATTTGGTCTTGTGAAGCTGTCTACCAGCTATACTTATTTCTTTGCTCTAGCTAACTGACAGAATAAATCCCATGTGAAGGAACAAAAAGCTTATTCATCATAAGTTTTAACATTGTTTTCTAGTGGATACACATTTCTGAAAGTATTTATATTGAATACTTTAGTGAAAAGTTCTGATTTTAGAAGCAGAACTATCCTCCAATTAAGGGCAAAAATAATTTCTATCCTCTTTGGAGGCTGTTGAGGACAAATTACATTTCAACCATCTTTGTAGATCACCAAAAAGGTTTTGTTTCTTCAAAAGCCATTTTGAAAGATGAAAGAGACATAAATCCTCTTTGTTAATAGTGGTTTAGCAGATATGAATCCTTTTCAACAATGGGGTAGCTGCACTAGCGGGATGAAAAATGTAAACTTGTTGATCACTGTCACAGTCTATTAATGGTAAAACAGATGCACATATCACACAAATTACCTACTTCATCCTGAGTAATACCAGTTGCACCATTTCTGAAAAACAAGAGAAGTCTACTGTGGCAGGTATTAGAGAGACTTTTTAGTGGTGTAAAGTGGGATTGATTTCACATAGAAGATCAAGTAATAATAATTTTGCTGCCCTGGTAAGTTTGATTCTCTTGGAAAATGTGTCACCATCACGTAGTGTTTATGTTATCTCCTACCGCTTGAAGGCCATGACTTTGCACTAAGGCTACCATCAGATTAGGTCGCAATGGAGAAGGCCACCTAGAACAACGTAAAACCGTGTTATATGGCCAAATATGTTATTGGGTCATTTAATTCAGTTCCACGTCATCACAAAGTCAACAGTAGATTATCCAACTTTATTCTTGCAAGATTAAGCAGAAGATATGGTGACATCACAAAAGCTCTTCAAAAAACAAGTGAACAAAAAAAGCCCTAAAATCCTGAACACCAGCTGGGGAGCTAGAAAAGATCAACACGTATAGGCCAATTTCTCCTTGAGCTTCCAATTGCATGGCAGAATTTATGTTTCCTTAGAATGCTATTTTTAATAAATACCTCTTGAAAACGCTTAAAATAAAAGTTCTTCATGGTCATGACCATAGTTTCCAAATACTACCATCCATTTCTCCCTTCTTTCCTGCTTTAAAGCACTACACAAACATTGAGGTGTATCAATATACCAGATGGAGTTCTAAGGGGAAAAAATGTTTCATATTCAAGTACATATTCAGCATACCTTTTCCATGACAAGTCGAGCAAGTTTTATTGGGTTTGCTATACATTTAACTGCAGATACTGCTCCAGACTCTAAATTTTTTCCATCCATGATAATGGCATCCATTTCTACTTCACCTTTTTCATTTAGAACAGATCCACAGCCTAGAGATTGAAAAAAAAAAAGAAAAAAAAAATCAAGGAAGAAGGGAAAAAGAAGTCATTAAGAGCTAATCATCAGGTGATTCAATTACTAGATCTCATCAAGCAAACTTTCTCTTTCCCAGTTTGTTGTCTGACTTATTTAAAGTATCTCCTGAATACAAAAAAAACAGCAGAAATACTGCCAAGTCTAAACACAAAATCTGACTATTAACGGAAGTCTCACAAGGTATGTTAACCTTTGCTTTCATAAGATGAAAAACACACTTCCGATCTCATCCAAAATGATATACTAGGTATGAAAGCTAAAACAACCACCAACCATGAAAAGAATTCTTTATCCCTCAGATCACTTCAAGTGCAGACAAAACTGTTTTACCTTTACAGTTCTTCCAAAGGACCATACAACATAACCCAACAAAATTGCACAGTGTTCAATCCTATCAACAGATTAACGTCACATAGTATTCCAAGAAACTGCCAAAATTGATGGAGCAGAAAAGTGTCCACTTACTACCGTAACAAAAGCTTGAAATAACAAGTTCTTCATTACCAAATAAAAACAGTAGATGAAGGAATTAAAAAAAATAAAACACGAGTAATAAAACGTTGGGTAGTTATTTTCTTCCACAATTATTGGTGCTATCATTAACCTAATTGAAAATTAATGAGATACAAAATGAGACAATGCAAAAAGGTTGTTTTTTTTTAATAATACCAATAACTATCACAAGGGAATCATCAGTTTTAAGTCATCAAGTGCATAAGCCTTGCTAATAAGGATGGAGAAGACTAAACCTAAAAAGAAGTTAAAAAAAAAACAAAAACAAAAACGAAACAAAACATGGCAGTCTTACACAGTACCTCAGGTAGAAAGACTTGAACATCGTACAGAGCTACACCAGTTTGGTTTATTTCTGTTAAACCGACATTAAAGCAGGTCAGAAACCACTGTTAATAATTGTTGACATGACTTCTGTACCAATGTACTTCAGACCTGAAGACAGGAAGCTAAATCCTGTTACAGTAGGCAACAAAATCCTGCAATCCTCCTCCTGTAATCTCCAAAACTCCCCCTGCTACACGCCACAAAAGTTATTTTTTGCCCCTCTCTGACTGCATAAGCTATTCCAGAGTTCGGTCCTGCATCATCTGCACGTTAATACTGTAATGACAGTTCTTATATCCAGAGTATTCACACCAAGCGAGTTCATACTGCTAGTCAAAGAGATCATATGAAGGAAATATAATCAAGGTCACTTCCTCATCACAAGCAGACCCTGACAACTTCATTATGCTGCACAAGTCACTAAAATGGTAGTTTTAGACAACAGTACAGCTTCTGAGCCCCTCCACCAAGCCTATATCAAGATGCATCTAGACAGCCATGGCTAAACTGTATCACTTAAAAAAAGAACACAACTTGATCATTTTGCCCATTCTTCCGAAACTTTATTGTTGTCTCTTAGCAATGCCTATTTTCCTAGCAATTTCCTAGCAATTTTCCTAGAAAAATATTACAGTAAAACTGATTTTTCTTTTATAAAGATAAATACCACACCGTGAGTTTTAAACAGCCACTCCAATCAGGGCTCTCTTCACATAGCTTGCAGCCCATTTTCACCAGCTACTGAGAACAGCTGTATCTAATGAGTGTTAACACAATTAGATCTATCTGTTAGTGATTACCAGACTACTTGCCATTTAGGTCAGCATAGTCAAACTTGAACAAGGGCTTATGGCTCAAATCCAGTTTAAGCAAATTTTGCTCAAAATTGCTCATTTAATACACTACAAACAAGGTATAAATATTGTTAGAACAAATTGAAGTAAACACCTTCAGGCAAAAAAAAAAATAAAATTCAACATAGATTCTACCACATCCAATGACTGAAATACAGCTATAACTGAACATTTTGCTTAACATACCAAGTGTGGTATATGCTTGTGACGTGCTTTTTCATGGTCTGAGGTCGCATTTATTCTTAATTAAATCTAAGGTCTGATCCTCAAGATATATGATCATTTTTAGAGAGACATGCACTGCTTATAGGTGTCAGTCCAGTGACAGCATGATATGAGAGCGCATGGCTCAGAAAAAACAGTATTAGTGACAAGATCCCATAAAAGAGTTAAAAAAAAACAAAACCACAACCTCGTATGCAAAACACAGAATACTGCTAGTTATTGTGATCCTACTTAGGATAAGCGGGCAAATGCTTCAGACTGTTGTGTACAAGTTAAATAAATGAGCCTAACCAGATCGTTATAAAGTAAGCTTTCATCCCTGAGAGTGACATTGAGCTAAAAATATATCTCTCATCTAAATAATTTTGATTTACAGAATCATCAAAACTAGTGTATAAGAAACCAAGAAAGTATGCAATTCTTTACACGGAATGATTAAGAAAGAGATGTAAACAATATTTAAGCTTAAACTTATATTGAAGTTGCTTACACATTAACATTGGACACCCAATGTCAAGCAGAACATCACTGATGAGATGCTTCTCAGAAACTTCCTGCCGTGAAGTAGCTGGTATTTTTAAAACAGTAAATCTAAATTCTCTTGCCAGAGAGACATTTTTGAGACATAGAATCATAGAAATTTCACTCACCCTCTGAGTGAAAAATTTCTTCCTTATATCTAACCTAAATCTGCCCTCTTTCCGTTTCCTCTTGTTAGAGAGACATTTTTGAGACATAGAATCATAGAATGGCTTGGGTTGGAAGGAACCTCAAAGATCATCTAGTTCCAACCTCCCTGCCATGGGCAGGGAAACCCTCCACTACACCAGGTTGCCCAAAGCCTCATCCAACCTGGCCCTCAACACTTCCAGGGATGGGGCATCCACAACTTCTCTGGGCAATCTGTTCCAGTGTCTCACCACCCTCTGAGTGAAAAATTTCTTCCTTATATCTAACCTAAATCTGCCCTCTTTCTGTTTAAAGCCATTATACCCCTTGTCCTATCACTACACACCCTTGTAAAAAAATCCCTCTCCAGCTTTCCTGTAGGCCCCCTTTAAGTACTGGAAGGCTGCTATAAGATCACCCTGGAGCCTTCTCTTCTCCAGGCTGAACAGCCCCAACTCTCTGAGCCTGTATAACCCAGAAGCATAAAGAGAGCCAAAGGCCAAACAGACACTGATTTACTGACCTGAGCAAAACAAAGTCCTAAAGGCTAGTCACTGATTTAGAGAACAGGTAAAGAAAAGTAAAAGTTAAATGAGGAAATGCTACCTTGATGTTAATTATATAATAGCACACACCACACCTCTTAAGTTTGCTTCATGATTTCAGCTTGAACCCCTCTAAAAATCAAGATGTTCAACCCAAGTCAGTAATAAAACACTGAAAGTTTCATATGAAGTAAAAGCTCTCCCGTGCTCTCAATTACAAAGTGAGAAGGAACAAGAGAACCTCTGCAAACTAAGGATGCACATCACTAATAGCTTTGTTATCTAAAACACTGAACACTGACGGGTCTTTTTTTCCCATGTTCATTCCTGACATACCTTAGTATGAGTGGGGAAATACTTTCACTAAAATTCATCAAAATAATAAATCTGAGGTCATACAAAGAGCAGAAAAATATTTGCTATTGACATTAACATTAGGAAATCCAGTTATGAACTCTTACTATATAAATTCATGATTCATATACCATTACTGCATTACTTCTGTAATACTATTTGTAAAAGCACTAATCGCAATCATTAAGAGAAAAGCACATAAAATCCCCAAGAATAGTATTCCTGTGGCAACAGGTACAGGTCATGGCTTAAACATTGTTGCAAGCTATGTTCAAGTGCCTTAAACACATATTCCATTACCTAAACACATACTCCATTAAGGAGTCCACCTCTTAAAACTGAAGACGCATCACCGTAACAGAAGATTTACAGAACAGCAATACTGTAGCACAAGAATGGAATGGCAGGTATAAAACACTGAAAAACGAGCAAAGAGTAACTCATCTGCCTAAGTGTACTCATGAGAAACCACAGTACATAGCACGCTGTTTTATTACACAGAGAGATAAACTATTTTGTGACACCAATATTTACTCCACTGCAATGCATGTAATTCAAAGAAAATGCAAGCCAGCACTTTCAGAAGCATCAGGGCAAAACACTTGAAATACATGATGATTCTAAACCCACTAAATTCTTGAAAAATTACCTGCGTTAAAATGAGGATCATCTTCCATTGATCGCACTGCTTCCTCAACCGCATCTAAGGCACTGCCTCCCCGTTTCAGGATACTATAACCTCGCAGCACAGCTCTGACAACACCGGCACGACTTCCCTCTTCTCGTTCTTTAAAGATCCGGCCAGCTCCACCATGCACCACAATGACAGGCTTCATCCTGCCAAAGTCGTCCAAAGGCTTTCAGCTGTGCACACAGGTTACTTGGATTTAGCCTGTTTTGGAAAGAAGAGTCTTTAGCACGTGCTCCCTTCTACAGGGAGAGAGCCCTGCAGGTTAGTTAACAGATACAGTCAGCTGGACTGCAACTATTTTACCTTTTGGGAAGCTGAGCATCCATGCAAAGGAGCTCCTAATTCACATCCCAACTGGAGGAGGCCACAAGCAACTTGGTGCAACTTTGAGGTCGGCTCTGCTTTGATGGCCCCTTCCAGCCTAAAGTTACTCTACAATCTTACAATTTACCATGAAGCCTGTCTGGTGACATTACAGGTTACACTGAAAAAAACATCTGGGTGACTCTCGATACTGCTAACTGCTCTTCATGTTAGATGGGTAGCCTCATTGTTTAAAGACAGTAACATAACCAGCAACAAAGAAAAGCAGCTGGCCTCAGCTGAGTTAACAGCTTAACCAACTCTACCGCTTAACCAGCAGCTTAACCAACTCTGACCTCTTGCAAAACTTTGTACTTTATGCAGGAAAACACGGCACGCAAGGAAAACCTGCCAGTTCAGTTTTTTGCTCACAGGAGGCCACGAGCAGTAACAACAGAGCATTGCTACGCATTCTTAGTGATGGCATTCACTTTTTTCTTTCCAGAAAAAGGCAAGGGAGAAGCAGCCTCCTCTCCCACCAAAATCTAGGGCACCTCACAGAGGAAACTCTCCACATGAAAAGAGTTTCTCAGGGCCGGCTATTTTTGGAGGCTGCGAAGAACAAAATCCAACAGCCTTTCTCTCACCCCATCCGCAAA